ACTGTGAAGTTATTTTGGTTGATATATATATATATATACATATTTGATAAGTACTACTTGACTCTCTCCTATTTATTCTATTCAGTAGTAAATACTCTATATCATATTTAATCTATTTAGTGTGTCAAAATCACTCACTGTTATCCAGTAAATTCACAAAAATTTAAGGCTGTCGAACAAAGTAGATGTTTATTTTTTCTCGTAATTTCGAGTGATTTGCGTGTTGCATTCTGAATAGTTTCCCCCTTGATGGAAAGAAATAGTGCTAATAGAGCCTAATTTGATTCCTATGCGAATGTGATTTCTCTTAACTACTTTACAAAGTCATTTTTAAACTGCTTATTGAATTAAAAGTAGAACATACACATACTAAATAATTGCAGTTATGGTATCCTATCGTTGCAGTCAGAGACGTTTCTATTTATCTATTCAGTTCCTTTTGTAGAACTGTAGTACGTACACAGTGACTGGGGGATAAACAGCGCCATGTTTTGTTGCTGACTGGATTATTTCAAGTGTTAATTTGCAGGGATTCGACTAGTTACAGGTCTGATCATAAGCTGACAGCAGCTAAAGAACCATCGGGAAACGAGACAGTTCTGCAAGGCCGTTTCGTCCTAGCTTAGAACTCTTCCGCAGTACGCACCACATTCTTTCTGTTACAAAGCGAGCTCGTAGACTGTTCTTCCACTGAAGTCGAATCCATTTGCTGATGAATACAAAATTCTGCTGATCCGCGATATATACAGTGCAACTGCCAGCCAATTAATATCATAGGCGAGCGACTGTCCTCTACCTGATTCGGTGAACATAGCTGGTCTTCGTTTCTCAGTAGAGCTCCAGATAACTTCCTTTAAACAAGCAGTCGCTAGTGAGCATCACATTAATTTTCAGGCTTGTAAGATGGTCATGTAGCCATAGGAAAACAGAATAATAGAATTCATTCATCACCAACACTATGGACTAAAGGCATGTTTTGGGTTACTTCGTAATGAACAAGTTCGTGTAAACTGTTAACTGCTGTTTTGAGGGATTCCAAAAGTCTCTGCCTTGACAACTACAAATACACACGATATTCTTGATAACTGTTTTTGTATTCCCAGCACATTTGAGTTCCGTTCATAGACAGTGTATTTTATGAAAGGTTGTATTTACCAAAATTCACCAAATATCATTATTATTATTGTTCCCTTTAATTCCTAGAGGAACATAGGGCTTCAGCCATGCGTCTCCATTGCGTTCGGTTCTCTGCTAGAGTCTTCACCTGGCTCCAAGTCTGCCCACACGTTTTCACCTCCTCCTCACATGACCTCCTCCAAGTCACCCTTGCACTGACGACCAACTCGCCGCTTCCCTTTCGGGTTCCACTCGAGCAATGGTTTGTCTAGTGATGTCACTTGATGGTTTCCTCAGAGTATGGCCAGCCAATCCATCTCCATTTCTTCCTGCCTATTCGTTTCACAATCAATTTCTGGTTGGTTCCCTCATTGCCAGAGATCTCTGTTGCTGATCATTTCTGGCCATCTGATTTTGAGTATTGAGCGAAGACAGATGTTAATGAAGGTCTGTAGTTTGTTTGATGTGCTCTGATCCGTATATTAGCACTGACTTCACATTGGAGTTGAAAATTCGGATCTTATTTTTGATGGTGAGTGTTGTTGACCTCCACACAGACTTGAGAGTAGTGAAAGCTTGTCTTGCTTTTCCGATTCTTGCTTTGATATCCTCGTCAGTTCCGTTCGCCTGTAGTTGAAACGATGCTTCCCAGGTAGGTGATGAAGGAGTTTGTTTCTTACAGGTTCCTCCCTTTTATGCTTATTGTTGTCTGTTGTTGTTGTTGCTGTTGGTGGTGTTGTCCGGGAATCTTCATCACCTCTGTTTTCTCTATGTTTACCTGAAGTCCTATCATTAGTAATCTCTTATTTTCAACTGCTAATTTGTAGGGATTTTATTGGTTTCAAGTTTGATTATGGAGAGACATCAAATATAGAAAAGTGGATGCGTACTGATGAAGAGGCTCAAACTGAGAAGAAACAACTGTCCAATACTTCGTGGTTTTCAGTGGTTCTCTAACTGATATTAGTTCATGATTAAACTTGAATTTTTTATTTATTTGTTCATCGAAAAACAACATTCTATTACTAAAATATAGTGGCACTATACTTCCTGAAAAGCAGCACTAAGCATTTTATAGTTTTCAATAGGTTTAATACATTTTTACTGCTGAATACCTAAATTAGGTATAATTTTAAAAAGCATAACTTCATACACGAATTTCCCTTAACGAATTTAAACAAAGCAATGGTACACATTTAGAGCCTGATGGAATAAGCCCATTTTTTTACTTTATCAGTACCCTGTCAACTTCTTACAAACCCGAAAAAGATAATTAATTACTCTTTTCTGTTACATTTTTGACATAATTTAGTTTGATGAAGGAATAGATTGCTGGACATTAAGAAAAGATGATCGCGATGTATAAAGATGAATTGTTAATGTGAAATTAGTGAAGTATAACTAATTTCTGTAATTATATATGAAATACCATAACAATATAAGTAATAAAGCTAGTAACTTTGATTAGAATAATTACAATTTAGTACAATTGCTTCCCTTTATGAATTTAGACAAAGCAATAAAAAGGAAGACGTAATTTGTCTGAATCGTGTAATGTATTTGCGCAACGCATTTCGAACAATCTGATCACACAGGGACTTGTCATAGGAATACATATGAAAGTAATAAAGAGTTGAGGGTTGGGAAAATAAACCTAGGTCAAGTTAACAGGGAATATTGAAGGTCGAAATAACAATGAAGAACACTAAACCAAATAAGAGAGGTAATAGTACATCTACCCTGGTCTCAAAACAAAGTTTACCAAGGAAAGTTTAATGTGAATACGAACTGCTTTTGAACGCATAAAGGTGGTTTAAGCTTTCTAGTTGCTAGGGCTTCCACAAATTTCAGGATACACCCAAAACACGATTTATAGATAGCTTTAAAAAACGTGTAAACATCAGTTTTATGTCATGTCTCCTCTATAATATATGGGTTCTGGGGATTCTATTTGTCTCTTAAGCCAGCCCTTACTTGTGGAGAATGATGAGTCCTTCCTATGTATGTGTGTCCACAAGTACATTCAAATTGGTAAATACAGTGGGATGTGACACCATTTTTCGCATGTTCTAAGGGATAAGACGGATATATTGGCTTCACATTCTCAATTATTATGATCTTAGCTGCATACAATGTCTTTTTAACAGCAGCTTTCAATCTCTGTCGAATTACCAAGCTGCTATAATCACCCATGTAGGGTAGCTTGATACATACGTCTTTCTTATCGGCGAGTTAGAGAGTACATCTTGGTGTTCTGACTACTTTGTATCTCCTAATGAACTTGTCTGGATAATTGTTATCAACCAGAGTTTGTGTCAACTTTCTTTCTTCCTCGTCAAGTGTGTCTTAGGTGTATATTCGTTTGATTCTATTGAAGAGGCACCTTATTAAGGTTCTTCTGTAGCGAATAGGGCAGAAACTGTGATAATTAAGATACTGTCCTGTCCATGAAGGTTTTCTATAGATAGATCGTCTTATTGATCCATCAGGCTGTCTGTCGACTAAGCAATATATCTAGGATAGATAAACAATTATCTTCATCTTCTACAGACATGAGTAATATGCTATTTTGAACTTCATTCACTTGATTTAAAACTGAGGTGGCAGAACAAGACTCACCATTTTTGATTACAGTGTCGTCGACATATCTTCTATAATTTCATATATATTCCTATGACATATCCGTGTGTGATCAGACTGTTCGAAATGTGCTGGGCAAATAAACTACACGATTCAGATAAATTACGTCTTCTTACTGCTTTGTCTATAATAATTACACTTATAATCTTGTAAAAAACGTTATTTCGAGAATATGATGTACCATCCATGTGTGAATTAATTGTTGCGTGGACGGTATAATTGGAGAGTTTATCCATTATGGAATGTACTGATGTACATTGTAATTAAATGTCTAATAAACTTCTAACTTTTGTTGTGGTTGCCTGGGTGAGTGACTTAATTGCGGAGCTTTAATTATCCTCATGGACAACATATTCAGGGCAAACTTCCAACTGCCAGTCTCTTAATGGAGTTTTTGAATTTCCTGTTGTTAGATTTCTCTGAAGAGAAATACTTCATCTGTGTTGGTTAATCGGTTTCAAGTAGGAGATGTTCCAGTGGTAACTTGTGGTGATCTTGAAGTTAACTGACTGGTAGCAGTTAAAAAAGGAATCCAGGAGGTGCATGTCGTCCTGTTTGGGACTTGTCATCCGGATTTATCTGTTTTTGGGAATACCAAAACTGATTTTACTCGAAATATAATAAGGGCTGCACTGACATTATAAGTTCCTTTCATAATATACGTATAGTTTTATATTAGGTGGTCAGCAGTGGAATCTGAAATGTGCATTTCAACCTATTTGAGACTCATGGCTTAGTGGATAATGCTTTGATATCTGAAATGGAGTGTGAGACGTTCAAGTTCCAGTTGTCACATCATCAGGCGGATGACGAGTCCAGAGTAGGACGAAATGCAAACCATTGATTCTAGTGTTAGTCACCACCAAATAAAAATAACTCCGCGTTGACCTTTAAACATCGTCGGGTCTTCCAAACTAGAAGCTGATATGTCAGCAGAAACCAAGCGTTTCGGTTCAACATAGTTACTCAAAGAGAAATACAAAAACATCTTTGAAACTCAGGTTTCATATTTCGTTTATTTATGTGGCTACTGGATCCTTATACTGAGCTAAGTATTTATCCATCAAAGTGTAGCGAAAAGGAATTCGGCTTCAACAAGTTACAACAACCTCCCACCTGTTTAAAGAATCAGATCACAATCAAGGTAACTATTGATCAACGTTAGTAATACATTAACTTTACGTGAACAAATATATTTAAATTGTTTCTTTTGCATCTTTATTACTTTTCTATCCATTTTACAGTATGCGTGATGTGGATTCTATGCTGGAGATAGGCTTATATTTAAACGATTTAAGTATGCATGATTCTAGTCGTGATATGGTATTGGCTGGTGAACAACAATCTGCTGAGTTGAAATTAGCCTTAGAACAAGTGAGTAGTTTAAACACATAAAAATGTAACTGACTATATTTTGCTAATGCACATTTTGTTATTTTAATTATTTATATTTAGATTACTTAGATTCACTATGGTGTACCCAAAGTTTTTATCAATCTTAATCAGCAGCTAGCTGGCTATATGACAATGCCACGTGTCAAGTGATCCACAACGGAAAACTCAGTGAAGCTTGTTTCGAGGTGAATAGAGGAGTAAAATAAGGCCGCTTGCCTATTGTCACCAACGATATTCTTAATTGTGGTGGACTAAATTATGCATCAGACTATGGGGGGGGGGGGGGAAGGCATGAAGACAGTAATGCGCAGGACCACTGATAAGAAGACCCTAGAACACCTGGATTTCGCGCATGGATGATTTATGTATAATGTCACACAAACTAGAAGACCTGCAGACAGGCGGAAAGCAACAAAGTGGCTGGAGAGACGAATCAGGCGGCGACGACAGGACTCCAGGTGAACATAGAGAAGTAATTCCATATTAGTTTGTTTATTTGATATATCACACAGTGAAACAGTATTATTTACTGGATGACGTTTCGAACAAAATTTATTGTTCATAATCATATCAATTATAATCACACGACTTTGACACTTGAGTTTTATAGTTTTCTTTGTTCTCTCCTATTTGTCGTTTGGGTAGTAGAATTTTCCAGATATCGGGGACAGGTGATGAATCATTCCTATTACATGTATTTGTAGTTGATTCGATAAACAAAGCTTCTGTTATCAATCTCTCCCTATACCCTGTGACATTAGATTTTAAAACTGTCATCCTATCCCATCCTATTGTGTGGTTGTGTGTAACTGCATGTAGTGCTATAGCTGAACTATTCTCTAGATTTCTTATCTTATTCGGGTCAACCAATCGAGATTTTGCTAGGTTTTTGTGTTCAGCTAGTCTGACTGCCCCTGTTCTACTAGTTTGACCTATGTATTTGACCTGACAATCATTACAGGGTATGAGATAAACTAAATTGTTTTGTTTTAAGGGCTCTACAGGATCCTTTAACCGACAAAGCTTGTTTCTAATTGAGTTTGTGGGTTTGAATGCCATTTTTATTCCTGCCTTGTTAAGAATTCTGCGTAAGGCTTCCGAGGTTCCTTCCTTGTATGGAATTACTACTGATGATTTAGATTTCTTATTATTGGTGTCGTCATTAATATTATTATTATTATCACTATTATTATTAACATTATTATTATCACTATCGCTACTATCATTATTTATTTTATTTTTACATTTCCTTACATATTTCTTGATTAATTTATCCGGGTAATTATTAAGTTTCAAAGCTTCTTTTATGTGTATCAGTTCCTGTTTTAGATTTTCTTTGGTACTACTTAGTTTTTGTGCTCTGTCATTTAAACATTTCACCAATCCTATTTTTACTGACATAGGATGGGACGATCGGAAGTCTAAATATCTGTTTGAGTGTGTGGGTTTCCTGTAAACACTAGTGTTTAACTTCCCATCTTCTTTCCTCTTTACGTTGCAATCTAACATTGGGAGCTCCCCTTCCTGATTTTCCAATTCATAAGTGAATTGAATTGCTTCCACCTTCGAGTTGATGTGTTCGAAAAACCTATCTATATCTTGTGTTTTAAGTACAGTGAATGTGTCATCGACATACCTCCACCATACTTTTGGGGTGGGGGTGAACGTTTCAATCGCTATGTTCTCCCACTTATCCATGAATATATCTGCTACAACTGGGGATATTGGTGATCCCATGGCAACTCCTTCAGTTTGTTTGTATATTTTCCCTTGAAATTTAAATACTGTGGAAGTCAGGCATAGCTGTACTCCCAGCATTATGTCCTCAAGTGGCACTTTTGTCCTAAGTTCGAGTTCTTGGTCAGAAATGAGTTCGTTTCTGACTGCCTCCATAGCCATATTTATTGGTATACGTGTGTATAAACTGACAATGTCAAAACTAACCATTTTCTCTTCATTATCTAATTTTAAATTATCTAATCTATGTTTCAGTTCATAAGAATTTGTTAGTCTAGATTTTGAGTATCTTTTAAGGGGATTTAATACCATGGCTAAATATTTAGATAATTCATATGTAGGTGAATTTCTAAAATCAACTATAGGCCTAATGGGGTATCCTGACTTATGAACTTTAACAACACCATACATCCTACTGGGGTTATTAGTTTTTGGCATCAAATTAAACCACTTAGACTCACCTAGAAACGGCTTCATTCGGCGTATAAGGTCCGCTGTGGATTTCTTAACTTTATTCATAATTGTATCTATTGGTTTATTAATTTCCACATATGGTCCTGTTTGTATGTGAGTATTCACCTTGTCCAAATAGTCTGATTTGTCTAATACTACTGTTGCATTTCCTTTGTCTGACTTTGTGATAACTATATCCTTGTTATTCTTAAGGTGTCTCACGGCTTCTATTTCTTGTTTTGTCAGGTTGGGTTTTCCACATTTTTGTCGTTTTAATGTTAGTGAACACTGTGCTCGTATTTCATCAGCCGTGGTTTTGTCTATCCCACTTAGGACTAAATTTCAATGAAATTTAGATTGCAATGTTAGATTGCAACGTAAAGAGGAAAGAAGATGGGAAGTTAAACACTAGTGTTTACAGGAAACCCACACACTCAAACAGATATTTAGACTTCCGATCGTCCCATCCTATGTCAGTAAAAATAGGATTGGTGAAATGTCTAAATGACAGAGCACAAAAACTAAGTAGTACCAAAGAAAATCTAAAACAGGAACTGATACACATAAAAGAAGCTTTGAAACTTAATAATTACCCGGAAAAATTAATCAAGAAATATGTAAGGAAATGTAAAAATAAAATAAATAATGATAGTAGCGATAGTGATAATAATAATGTTAATAATAATAGTGATAATAATAATAATATTAATGACGACACCAATAATAAGAAATCTAAATCATCAGTAGTAATTCCATACAAGGAAGGAACCTCGGAAGCCTTACGCAGAATTGTTAACAAGGCAGGAATAAAAATGGCATTCAAACCCACAAACTCAATTAGAAACAAGCTTTGTCGGTTAAAGGATCCTGTAGAGCCCTTAAAACAAAACAATTTAGTTTATCTCATACCCTGTAATGATTGTCAGGTCAAATACATAGGTCAAACTAGTAGAACAGGGGCAGTCAGACTAGCTGAACACAAAAACCTAGCAAAATCTCGATTGGTTGACCCGAATAAGATAAGAAATCTAGAGAATAGTTCAGCTATAGCACTACATGCAGTTACACACAACCACACAATAGGATGGGATAGGATGACAGTTTTAAAATCTAATGTCACAGGGTATAGGGAGAGATTGATAACAGAAGCTTTGTTTATCGAATCAACTACAAATACATGTAATAGGAATGATTCATCACCTGTCCCCGATATCTGGAAAATTCTACTACCCAAACGACAAATAGGAGAGAACAAAGAAAACTATAAAACTCAAGTATCAAAGTCGTGTGATTATAATTGATATGATTATGAACAATAAATTTTGTTCGAAACGTCATCCAGTAAATAATACTGTTTCACTGTGTGATATATCAAATAAACAAACTAATATGGAATTGCTTACTACCACAGTGCCCAAGTTTTACACATATATGAACATAGGGAAGAAAGAGGTGATGAAGTTAATCAATCAACCAACCGACAGCAGCAACATCAACAAAAACCAGCACCAATCACCATCAGCGGAAGAAATTAGACAGAGCTTACTTCACTTTCTTCTCTTATCCGGTTAGGAACCAGCTTGGAAATCTTCTGCACTCCACCTCAGCCTAAAAAACGAGACTCGGATTTTCAACATAAATGTGATGTCAGTCCTTCTATAAGGGTAGGAAACTCACACTGTGTTTCACGAAAAGCATTTCCAACAGACCACAGCTGCCACCTTCGCTGGCTGGCTCCATACTGAAGATTAAATGGTCAACGGGAAAGAATTGCCAATAAGAAACTCTGTGAACAAACCAGCAACTACCATACAGCTACTTATTTAAATCAATGAGTAGTATATAGTTTTGTGTGAATATGCCTGCTTTGTTGATTGCCACTTGCAGTATCAGGCAGATGACATGTGGTGATGCTACTGAAAAAGTTTATCAGCAGTCTATAAAGAGACGTTCATCAGTATAAAAACATCAAATAGCAGGAAATGGATTTGATGTCAGAGAAAGCAAATGATACAACATTGTGGAGATACACTGGAGTAGTGAAAGGATCACAAAGAAATGCAACATGAAGGCAAGAAGTAGCACAACATGGAGGATCTATGCAAATGGCGCGTTAAGATAGTGTGTATATGATTTGGCTATATAGAGATCCCGGATTCTCATCCTTTACGTAAATTTTGTAAAACCATAACTATTGTCATATTTTCCAACTGAATGACGAATAACCACAAACCAGTAACACAGTTATCCAAATAAAGTTCACAGTATTTGATCGGATACACAACTGAATGGACAAAATACACGTGCTACATATAGTAGGCTAAAAATTCGATGTTACACTAGTATCTTATGACAAGGTTTCAAGAAACCACTACCTATTATTTTTCGTGAAGCGATAACAATAAACAATGGGGGGGAGTGAATTCAGTTCAATTTCATTTCGTGTGCTCTAAATCCTTCCCATATTCACTAAATTGGAAATTCGTGTAGATTTGATTAATGTAAGATATCATAGTCAAGTACAAATGATTTATAACCAATCAGTTGAATCCCTACAAACCAATACTTGAATATTAATGAGATGCTCACTATCGACTGGCCCTATTCAGGTAGGGGTTCTAGTGGGAAGTCGTGACCACTTTGTAGGGTGCAGCAGGTCGAGTGTGAGGACAAATACTCGCTGAAGACATTGGTTAGCGGTCGCTCTATGTCATGAATTGGCAGAAGTTGGAATTCATGGGCTGGTCATTGGATTGGCGGGTCCCAGTGGCTTAATGGTCTACGAGCTAGCTCGCCTTGTAACCAGCGGATCCTGGGTTCGAACTGTGGTGGTGAGTGCGTACTTCTGAAGAGTCCCAAATTGGGACGAAGGGGTTGTCTTCAGCTGCAGGTTTTCCAATAGTTCTATAACTGATGTCAGCTCATGATGAAATCCTGTAACCAATCAATCATATTCCTACAAACCAGTACTTGAATACAAATGATTTCATATAGTAAAGCGTATTTTCAAATCTATACAGTAGTAAATATGAGAATGAAGATGACATTTAAAGCATATCAAATGAAGTCAAATTCAATTCAACCCACAATTTCTAATGTTTTTGTTCCACAGAAATAAAGAGAACTAATTCTATAGGATATTATTTCTCCTTCTTTTTATTTATAGGAAAGTGAAAAGAGTAAGAGATTAGAAGAAAGTTTAAGAAGATTAGATGAAGAAATGAGAAGAACAGATGAACTCCTGTATCAAATGATTCCTCGTTCTGTAGCCCAACGACTTAGAGCTGGAGAAGCAGCTGTAGATACATGTGAGGTATGTGGTATTGATATCATAGTGATTAATAAAATGTCTTTAGCTTGTGATGTGTATACGTTTGTTGAAATTTTGTTATGCGCTGTCTCTACTGATTTGTATTTACCACTGTGGACAGTAATGAAATATGTTATATCGCAGTTTAAAATTAGTGGATCTGTACTTTCGAGAAAGATAGCATCCATGAACATCAGTTTGTGTAACAGATATACTGCCTTTAGTGTAGATAATCTAAATCCAGTGGTTGAAATCTTCTGATTACGTCATAATAAATAATAAAGGGTGATTAGAATGTCTGAGATAGCCTTGGGTTGAAAAACTGGTTTTGATGTTCCCTTATGGGTAAGTTTTATTTTGATAAAGTCTCACAGTGTTATACAGTAATATTTACTGATGACGTTTCGAGCACAATTTATTGCTCATAATCATATCAAGGTAATCACACGACTTCCTAAATTCATTTATATAGTTCCATTGTTTTTCATTTGATTTGATTGGTAGTAATATTTTCCATATTTCGGGTATGAGTGATGAATCATTCCTATTGCATGTGTTGGGTGTAGATTCGATGAACAAGGATTCAGTAATCAACCTCTCTCTCCACTTACCTAGATTACTTTTTAGAATTTTAACCCTCTCCCACCCTATTGTGTGGTTGTGTGCTAATGCATGCATTGCAATCGCTGAGCTTTTTCCTAAATTACTAATCTTCTCGGGGTCAACCATTCTTACCTTAGGTAGATGGAGAGAGAGGTTGATTACTGAATCCTTGTTCATCGAATCTACACCCAACACATGCAATAGGAATGATTCATCACTCATACCCGAAATATGGAAAATATTACTACCAATCAAATCAAATGAAAAACAATGGAACTATATAAATGAATTTAGGAAGTCGTGTGATTACCTTGATATGATTATGAGCAATAAATTGTGCTCGAAACGTCATCAGTAAATATTACTGTATAACACTGTGGGACTTTATCAAAATAAAATTTACCCATAATGGAATTAAACTCTACCACAGTGCACAAGTTTTATTCTTATATCAATGGTTTTGATGTCATGCGTTTTTTTCCCTTCATGTTCCCCAGTGGAACATAGGGCTTCAAGCTAGTGGCTTGAAGTTTCTGTAGCAGTGTTTATTTTACAGTATGGGGTTGCCAGCCTCATGCCCAACCTTTCCTCTTCACCAGCATTATTTCTGGCTTAGCGAGGTAAAGGTGTGCGTCGGCCGGGGATCGAACCCCGGACCATAAGCATGGTTGGCGAGCATCCTAACCACTATGCCACCGACTCACTGATGTCATGCGTGACGATTGAGAATCTTCATTACAGGGGGATTCATATGAATGGGCTTCTAATTGCGAGTCTGGCGCTCCACAATCTACACTAAGGGCGATCGTTTCGAGTCCTGTCATGACCTGTATTTCCATTTCATTCTCACTCATCATACACAACATCACAATATATATATATATATATAAAGAATGCCCACAGTGAATAAAAAGCCCGTATGCATCCAACTAAGATCTAATGGTAATACCATTGCAAGTATAATTGACAGAAGACTCACTGGCTTTTACATTCCTTGCAGTTAAATGGACTCCTGTATACCAAGCAGCATGTTCCTTAGTTTGTCAGCTCTAGCTATGTATATCAGTTTAGATGTAACTGCTGAAGAAGGGCGTATCTTAGATTTTCTCAGCATATACCAATAATTTTGCAGTGAAGATGGATTAAACCTTTGAAAGAAGAAATATAAATCAGAATTTAAGTCGATTTCTTAAAGTCTCAACAAAGTATTTACTTTTAGTACTTAAAAAAGTTTCCACTTGATAAACGCACACTTATAATTACCGCTGGTAACTGATGTTGAAATTTGCTGATGTAGATATACTTCCATAAGTGTAGACGTTGATTGAGGTTTAAATGAAGACTCATATCACATTAAGCGAGTTTTTAGATCAGCACCCGAACATCTAGACTGTCAGATCCAGCCGCTACTTTGTTTAACTTCATTCACCGGAACAGCTGTTTTCCAAGACTGATTAAAGTTATATAACAATCATAACTGAAGGAGAAGCGATTTTCGCAAGTGGATTAAATAACAGTACAGGACTTTGGTGTGAATTTCATCACCCTACGCATGGCAATGCATTTCCATAAATCACTATTTAGTATTTTACTATTTTCATTTATAAACCAGTGAAATGGCAGGCGAGATTGTTATACCTGATGTTTCCCCATTTGTTTCAAGCAGTCTTACCCAAGTAGTATTAAATCTTAAATTTATGGTAATGTGATCGATATATAACAAATCAATCAAAGGTTTTCTACAAGCTAATAACCGGATTCGGTTTCAAGCATAACTTATTTCTCTAAATCACATCAGTGTACCCAAAGATGTTCCTAACTGGATTTACGCAGTTCAATAGCACAATTCTTCATATGTCAGAATGGGTCACTTGGTAATGACCAGTGCCTTGTGCCTAATCCTAGTTTGTGCTGATAAGTGAATTCCATCGGTCAGGTTTGCAGTCTGTTCACCAATCTAAGTGTCTCGCGTTGTGCTTTAAATTGATGCAATATGGTTGGTGGTAATCAGTAAGAAGCCCTAAACATAGGTTTCTCCCCTCTAGGCGCTTGTCGACAGGAAATGATTCTCTGTCAAAGATTCGAACCTGCACGCTGGCATCGAGCTATTTGACCTCATAAGTTTTCTTCTAAGTTATTTCTTCGTTTGCGGTTTACTTTCATATGTGAACATTTTGTGATTTCTTTTCTTTTGTACAGACGTTCGAAACTGTCACTCTATTGTTGAGTGATGTAGTTGGTTTTACAACAATTTGTAGTGGTCTGGCACCATTAGAAGTTGTTAATTTATTGAATAAACTCTATTCATGTTTTGATGGACTTACAGAGAAGCATAAAGTGTATAAGGTAAGTTAAATTAACTCATTCTAATGTTGTTTTAGTTTAATTGTCTTTCTAAACAGCATTTCCAGTGCCAACTTCATTTTAAATTTTAAGGTTACAACAATATAAAATTTATTCAAATAAGCTACAAGTGTTTTCCATTATTTTAAAGGAATTATTTACGCTAATGAAATTTATTGTAGTGGCGTACATTTCAAAGAGGAATGAACATCGGAGTCTTGGCAGGATTCTACGCTGGTTGCTTACTAACTGGGCTGTGAGTTCCAAGGGACGGTAAATAATGATAATGTTAGTTTGGTGTAGACACTATGGTAAGAGAAGTGAATGATTGTCAAGTGATAATGAATTTAGTCGAAGGAAAAAGACCGTATAAGTAAATTAACAAATATGAAAAGATTTATGTAAACTTTAGAAAACAAATAATGGTAATAAAGTTGTAACGACAGAAGACAAGGGCCAGGCAACAGATCGTTTATTGAGGAAATCAAGAGACACTTATAGATGTTAGCAGAGAAGCAACGTCTTCTGATTGGTTATTTTCCCACTGAAGGTTATTCTCTACTGCTTGTGAACGTCTCTTAGAAATTTAAGCCATATATCTGCGAATCATATTTGCACACTTTAAGTCTGCTTTGATTGGTTGGTGAGTTCCTCAAGGTTAAGCTTTGTCATTGTTCTTTCTCATGACCCCGACTCGGGAAGTAACATTGAAGTAAATTGTTGTCTACAATTTTTGGCTTGCAGCCAGCTCTCACTACATAATTAGTGATAAAGTTCGCGATATCGCAAGAGTCTGAAATGTGGCTTTGTCATCGAAACTAGGGAATAGAGGAAAAGAACAGGGTAGGGATTGAAAGTATTAATTATTGGTAATTATATATATTTTGTTGATACTATTGTAAGCTATGACAAATATGGTGGCAAGACATATATTTATTTGGGATACAGAGATCATGTATATTCGAACTGATTACTACGGCTATGGATATCGATATGAAAGGTAAACGAATTCCTATTGACGGCTTACTGGAACACCTACCGACTACCCATTAAGTGAGATAAGACTATCCTATTTGTGCATTTAAGTTACCTTATTGTGTTTTTTTTGTTTTATTCCTTCACGTTCCCATTGGAACATACGGCTTCAAGATAGAAGCTTGAAGTTTCGGTAGCAGTGGTGTTTATTTTTATGGGATGGTGGGGTTGCTAGCCTCATGCCCAACCTTCCCTCTTTACCAGTCTTATTCCTGGCCTACCGAGGTAAACGAGTGCGTGGTTGGCGAGCATTCTACTGCTGTGCCTCCGACACACAAACTATATTATGTGTACTTGTATCAAAATACAGTTTCTTATATAGTTTTAATTCTCTTTTATTGGCTATTGGGGTGGATTCTAGTGGATTTATAACTACAAAGTCTGTGGAAGGAGGTTATAATGTAATTAGAAACCTTTTTCCAGTGAATGTCAGTTCAGATAACAAGAACATTAGGGCGTAAACATTTTCCACCACTCTGATTTCATGAATAACTTTGAAATCTTTTGTTTTTCATACTTCAGATTACTGATTTGATACTTTTTTGGTAGATAGGCACTTATAGGATTGACTGAGTGCTTTGAGATGATGTTATCTGTTTTAAGATGCAGGTAAAATGATTGAAATTTAAGTAACCAAGCCTTAAGAGCTAGAATAAACTCTCATGATATGAAGGTTCATTATTCTAATCGGGGTTTTCCAAGGTATAATGAAAATCCAGTATATGCGATTATTATTATTATTGTTTCCTTTAATTCCTAGAGGAACATAGGGCTTCAGCTGTGCGTCTCCATTGCGTTCGGTTCTCTGCTAGAGTTTTCACCTGGCTCCAAGTCTGCCCACATCCTTTCACCTCCTCTTCACATGATCTCCTCCAAGTCACCCTCGCACTGACGACCAACTCGCCGCTTCCCTTTCGGGTTCCACTCGAGCGATGGCTTGTCTAGTGATGTCACTTGATGGTTTGTTTTCTCAGAGTATGGCCAGCGAATCCATCTCCATTTCTTTCTACCTATTTGTTTCACAATCGATTCCTGGTTGGCTTGGTCCCAGAGATCCCTATTGCTGTTCTTTTCTGGCCATCTGATCTTGAGTATTGAGCGAAGACAACTGTTAATGAAGGTCTGTAGTTTGTTTGATATGCTCTTTATGACGCGCCAAGTCTCTGATCCGTATAGTAGCAGTGACTGACTTGACATTGGAGTTAAAAATCCGGATCTTATTTTTGATGCTGAGTGTTGTTGATCTCCACACAGACTTGAGAGTAGTGAAAGCTTGTCTTGCTTTTCCGATTCTTGCTTTGATATCCTCGTCAGTTCCGCCTGTAGTTGAAACGGTGCTTCCCATTTCGGTAGGTAAAAGAGGTTGTTTCTTTCAGGTTCCTTCCATTTATGCTGATTGTTGTCTGTTGTTGTTGTTGTTCTTGTCCAGGAATCTTCATTATCTCTGTTTTCTCTATGTTCAAGTGAAGTCCTGAAATTAAGAAAGATACATTATATCAGATAAAAGCGAAAAGGTTACTAAAGAAATATATTACACACAAACATACACATTTTCCCAAAAGTGACGTTTAACATCCAGAATAATCATATAGTGGTTATCATTTGTATGAGTGGTGAAATGTGTACTCCAGACGTCATCCAATTAAAAAATCATACTCATGGTCGTGTGGTGTATCAGTTAAATGTGGCTAATATGGAACAAATATGGAACATATGACAATGAACGTCATTTGTCACAGGAATATTTAACAACTGTGGTACATGACGTATTTTAGATTTCTTTCCGATTACGTTATTAGCTACCCACTTCCAAAGATATGCGTAAGAGTAAACAACGACCGTATAAGGTTATGCTGGTTACATTTGAAAACATAAAGTGAAAAAGCAATGATTTATTTTCAATGAAGAAAGATGTTTCACTTTGAATATATATATATGTGTATGACAAAAGAGTGAGGAATTTCTAAAATTATTCCACCCTCTGGTGTCAAAATATAGCGAACAGTAAAATAAAGTTACGTGATAAAAATAAGGGGTTGTAATAAAAAAATAAACATGAAGATCAGACAGTGGACATTATTACGTAACAATGATTCTATTTAAAAGAAAGACTAATTACGATAGCCATTGAAAACAATGATAAGTAGCATTGCCTTGCATTTTCAGATTGCAGATTCTTTCGTTATCCTCCTATATCTTGATCTCGCCTCCGAGAATATTAATAGGATCTTGTACTGAATTTTCAAGGATTTCTAGGCATCTGACTTCTGGATATCCTATATTCAGAAGGTATTAAAACAGAAGCGCGTCTTTAGCTAGACAAAAAAGCTTCTAGTGTTGGTTTGTAGGGATTTGATTGATTGTTTACAGGATTTCATCATGAGCTGACATTGGTTAGAGAACCATTGGAAACTAGGATGAAACACCTGTCCAGTACTCCCAGGTTTTCCAATGGTTCTCTAGCCAATGTCAGCTCATGATGAAATCCTGTAACCAAAAAAGCTTCTTGTGGACATAGTTCACTCACTTTCGTCCAAGAAATCCTTCCAGATGCCACACGAGGTCCAACCAGGCTTCCCAGAGATGACATCAAGATATTTGGCCGTAGCAAAGCCATTGACTACCCAAAAATTCAAGTTAATTCTAGGCGTCCATAGAAAGGGTGCACAAACTTTACCTTTGTTTTCCGTAGCTATCACAATCATTCTATTTTATGAACAGAATAATCATTATCTGGACAGGAATGCAGTAATAATTTAATTCAATGAAGTACATTCAGCTATCAAATTCACGTGTGAAAAGGAACCCCAAAATAGAATTGCCTTCTTAAATGTCCCTCTTACACGAAAACCAAATGGTAGTATAAAGAGAAATTTGCATAAGAAAATTACATGGACAGGACAATATATACATTTTCATAGCTTCATTCCCCTCCAGTACAAAAGAAATTTAATGAGGGTCAGAGTTATCTATATGCTCAGAAGAGGTAATTGAAGATGAACCGTGGATTGTGCATGACCTTATTTGAGGACAGCTATCCAGAAAAGTTCATCACATGACCAAGAAAGTAGCAAAATGACAATTCTCTCTGTACAAATAAGAAGCCTTTATATATACGACTACGACTCAAGGGCGACGTACCGAGTGAAATAATTACTAACAAGTTAAGAAAAGGTATTCAAAAAACTTATAATGCTGGCAAACTACAGTTATGATTCCTCAACTGAAAAAGGAAGTGTAACAACAGAAGACAAGGGCCAAGCAACAGAACTTTATTACGGAAAATCAACACGTATTTATAGATTTTGATGTACATTATTGTAGGTTAATGTTAGTAGAAAATACAGTCTGTTGATTGGTTGTTGCTCACACAAAGTTAACCTTGCATCTATTGTGGCTGTGTCAGTTCATCTATATGTTAACTGTATCCGCCTGTCCATCTTGACCTTGTTTTCACATGACTACCATTGACCTCAATTACTGTCAACCAATTTGGCTAGCAACCATCTCTCACCACAGAAGTACTTAGACTAGCTACCTCTTCTTGTATCTACCAGTTCAACTGCGCTTTTAGAACGAGTTATATTGACCACTGTCCCAGGAACTTGATTTTTCGCGCTCGGGAACATCTACCGGTGTGGCTAAATAAAGGTGTAGTGGAAACCATCAGTGGTTTGATATCAAACTACCTGGTCCAAACTGGCTACAAAGCCAGCATTGACGAACTCTTCTCTACCATATATCAGGTACCAGATAAATTGCCATAAGCACCCAGTTACCGAATACTCCAAACAGCAGAGGCTATTGCAATTCGCCTAAAGCAACTGGTGCTCTGTGTACATAAGAAACAGGTACAACCACTATTACTGCTCTGGTCTGTTGTAGAGTTTGCAAAATTATAGATACCTTAGTAAGTCTCCCCTTTTGGTATGGCCCTCCATCGTATACATACAAATTCCCCTACCCAGTGTTATTACACTTGAATAAACTAACATTTTGTTTTCTTAATGAAACGTAGCCGATAATATTTTACACCTAAGGTTAACAAGTTCATTTGACCTTTTGATAGTGTGCGGAGGGAGTCTTCTCCTTAAAAATTCAAAACAATCAGTTCCCTTTATGAATTTAGATAAAGCAATAAGAAGACGTAATTTGTCTGAATCGTTTAATGTATTTACACAACGCATTTCGAACAATCTGATCACACACGGACTTGTCATAGGAATATATATATGAAATTAATAAAGAGTTAAGAGGCGAGAAAATAAATCTAGGTCAAGTTAAAAGGACGTACTGAAGGTCAAAGTAACAATGGAGACCGCTAAACCAAATAACAGAGGTAATAGTACATCTGCTATGGTATCAAAACAAAATTTACCAAGGAAGGTTTAGTGTGATGACGAATTGTTTTTGAACGCATAGAGGTGGTTTAAACTTCCTAATTGCCAACTAGGCCTTCCACAAACTTTAGGATACGCCCCAAACACGTTTTATAGATAGGTTTAGAAGACCTATAAACATCAATTTTATGTCCTGTCTCCTCTATAATATGTTTCGCAATAGAAGAGGTAGGTTTCCTGTACCCGCCATTAATGGGATTTGGGGATTCTATTTGCTTCTGGAATATGCTCTGAAGCCCTTACTTGCAGAGATCGATGATTCCTCCCTATGTATGTTTGTCCACACGTACATTCAAATTGGTAAATACAGTGGGATGTGACGTCATTTTTCGCATGTTCGAAGGGCTTAGATAGATATATTGGCTTTATATTCTCAATTTTAATGATATTAGCTGTATAAGAAGTCTTTTTAACAGCAGCGTTCAGTCTTTGTCTAGTTATCAAGCTGCTTTGTCTTTGTCTTTGAATGCACGTGTGTGATCAGATTGTTCGAAATGTGTTGTGCAAATAAATTAAACGATTCAGACAAATTACGTCTTCTTATTGCTTTATTTAAACGTAGCCATTAACTTACACACTGACACACACACACACCGCGCGTAACATTCTACCTTCTTTTTTCTCCCCCATCTTTGAGATTATCATTCATCCATCTGAAGTTTATAATCAAAATGAGCAGAATTTAATATGAATAGGATTCATAAGAGTCCATTGCCACATACTTTGGAGTTATTTATAATTACTGACTTTGTGATATTGGTGTTCAATTTCGTGTTCTGATTATACGTGTTACCACATAAACATGTTTCAGACTATAATCTGTTCACAGTCTATTTGCATATAACTCTTGGAATTCTGATGTCAGTGATTCGACGTTAAGTTTAAAATACACTAATATTGTCCATAGCGAAAATTCTTTTATTATTGTGGATACATAACTGTAGAACTTGATGAAGAAGGAGTTATCGAAAAGGATATTCTTTGTTCAGTAATCAGCCTTAGGAAATTTCTAGTGGGCATCTTTAATCCATTACGTAATTGTTCTTATTCCCTACACTTTCCGTTTTACTATAATAGAGGTTTTTGTATTTCCCAATGAATGAAAAACTAAACGATATTGTTTTTACTGACGTTTCGCTATAGCTTTATCAAAGTATTATTAAACCAAGTATTGGTTTGGTAGGGATTTCGTTTAATTGCATGTAGGATTTCATCATGAGCTGACATCAGTTAGAGAACCACTGGAAAACCTGGGAGTACTTGAAAGCTGTTTCGTCCCAAATTGGGACTCTTCATCAGTACGCGCCCACCGGGATTCGAACCCAGGACCTTCTGGTTACAAGGCGAGCTCGTAGACCATTGAGCCACTGGGACCCGATCCAATGGTCCTTGAATTCTAACTTCTGCCAATTCACGACATAGAGCGACCATTTCGCAATGTCTTCTTAGATGAGTTACTGCCTCATCTTCAACCAGAATTTACAAAATCTCAACATATATATAACAAAGAGTTAAGGGGTGAGAAAATAGACTTAGGTCAAGTTAAAAGGACATATTGAAAGTCAAAATAACAATGTAGATCACTAAACCAAATAACAAAGGTGATAGTACATCTGTTATGATTTTAAAACAAAGTTTACTAACTTGATCATCGTTCGTCAGTCTGGGGGCATTTTTCGTTGTCAAGTTGGTCATTTGGTAAAGATAACAAAACCAAGTTTAGATTGTTGGATTTGATCAGTGTTTAAAATTATAAAAGCAGTGTGTGTTTACATAATGAACTTGCATATCACATTCGTGTTGATTTTGTCACTTCATGGGGAGGGAGGTGTTGTAACCAGGTCAGATTCTGTTTTAGTCCATTATTCATATTCAGGCAATTTGGATTCCACTTGATATGAAGTTCTTCTGATATTAGACGTTCTTTGTGATTTCTGAATAAAAAAACATCATTTTATTTTTCATTCAATGGGAAATACAAAAACCTTTATTGTAATGAATATCATATACCCAATGCCCAAATTTTTTCAAACTGTTAAAAGTGAACTTGGTTTGGACATATATAATTTCCGTTTTACCATTTTAATCCCAACTTGTATTACGTAACTTGATTTTATTCTTTACTGTATTTCGACGCCTGATGGGATGTCATTTTGCGACTTTCTCACAAATATCAGTCAAAACTGATGACTTCATCAGGAAGATGACACATTGGATAGGGTTGCAGTGGCTCAATCGTCTTCTAGCTCGCCTTGTAACCAGAAGGTGCTGGGTTTGAACCCCTGTGGTGGGTGTGCTGATGAAGACTCCCGAATTGGGACGAAACAGCTGTCCAGTACTCCCAGCAGGTTTTCTAATGGTCCTCTAAGTGATGTCTGTTCATGACAAAATCCCGTAACCAAAGGATCATTTCTAATAGTTGAATCCAAATATCTTTTTTCTCCTATGATCTTACGACCACATTCCACTGTTGCTGTTTCTTACGTAAATACAGTGGAAACCAGATTAAAAGTCAGTTAAAAACAGATGTGTTGTGCAAATACAGCTAATCACCTGTAAGGCAGATGAATCTTCTTTACACCTTCCTACAAACAAGTTTCCTGATAAATCGATAAATTAAAATCTAGGAAGTCTTTTTCTGTTTCAAAACTACAGGTGTTTTATAGTCTTTTTTCAGTGCTAGTTTGCATTCCTTAAGACATTTTGTATTTTAAGCTAAATGTTTGAATTATAGCTTCGAAAAGTTTACATATTTTACTCGTAATAATATATAAGCAATAAAAAAGAAGAGCATTAATAAAGTTGTTAAAATATTTGTTCAGCTCTTTGTAATTTCCTGTAGTTTATCAGCAAAAATAATAATTTTCATGAGTTGATTTGTAGGGATTCGATTTGTTTTAAGTTCGATGACTGATTGATATCAGTTAGAGATTCATTGCAAGCCAAGGAGTACTGGACAACTGTTTCGTCCTATCTTTGGGACTTTTTAGCAGTACACACCCACTAATCCAACCACAGATCGAACCAGGAACTTACAGGTTACTATGTCAAGTCGTTAACCATTCAACTAATTGGGTCGGAATTCATTAGTCTATGAATTCATACTTCTGTACTTTTTCGACTTCAGCGCGACTGCCAACTAATGCCATCGTCAAGCATTTGTCCACACACTTGACTGGACGTATGGATGGTGCCAAAGAGTCCCAAAAGTAGCACGAGACAGCTGTTCAGTACTCCTGGTGACCGAACATGGAACAAATTCAGCCTCTACAAACTAACTTTTGAGAATTAATCTGATGCTCAGTAGTGACCGACTACATGTCGAAGTTTTGTCGAGTTCTAGAAAGAAGTTGTTACCAGTGGGATGTGAAAGCAGATGCACGCCATTGACATTGCCTGGTGGTTGCGCTAAAATTGCGAAAATCTCTGTTCATATGTTAGATGCCATTGTAGCGCTCTTGACCTAGTGGGTAATTCTTTGGCGTTTGGAACAAGGGGTACAAAGTTCAAGCCTTAGCGTATTATCATCACTTACTGTGAATATACGTTTATCCAGTTGACGAGTCCCAAATCGCACGAAACGCGCATCCTGAATTCCACTGCTAGTCATGATCCACCAGACTATATCAACTTAATCCACAGATATCGTTGAAGTGTCCGCATTAGCAGCCAACATGTCAGCAGAGGTCAAATATCTCGGGAAAATCAAAATTAGACTAATATCAAAAAATTATATGTCACACTCATCAGAAACTAATTCATTGTTATCATTTTGAACGTTGAATTTCATTTCATCAGTTTACATTCACGTCCTTCTACTTTTCCCCCTACTTATCAGGTTGAAACAATTGGTGATGCTTATATGATAGCTTCAGGTTGTCCAACACGTACAAATTATCATGCTCCATTTATTGCTGAAATGGCTCTTGATATGGTTGAATCTGTTCAGAATGTCAAAGATGAATCGAAGGATCCACCAGAAAGCTTACGTATACGCGTAGGTAAGTCGAAATTCCCATCAGTATGTATGTATATATATATATCATTGATATGATTATGAACAATAGATTATGTTCGCAACGTCATCCATCTCCGTCCCTTCGAGTTCCGGGTGAAATATATGCATGGAACTTAGAAGTTTTAGCAACAGTTGTAGTGTTTTTACCAGGTGGGTTCGCCAGCCTCACACTTAGCTTTCCCCCTTGTCAAGCTGACTACCAGATAAGCAAGGTTTTAGGAGTGTATCGACCAGAAATTAAAACCGGACCACACTCATAGTTGGCGAGCAATTTTAACATGAGACCACCGTGGCACTTAGTTAATTTCCCCAGAGTATTTAGGGGTAGGGTTGTTCTGCAAAAACATTTTTAAAGTCAGTCGGTTGATATTTTATTATTTTACAACCACAATTTACCGTTACTCCAGAAAAGGGTTAATGGTCAAATTAATGAGTGTTATGAATATATGAAGCCATCGACAGTTGACTGGGGCCGTGTATACTGTTGTGTTGACCGCTTGAATAGAGTCTCCGAGATTCTAAGAATGGTTCGAGTTTCTTTGTAACATGGCTGAAAGTTATACACGATGACATAAATGTATAGACCATCTGCTGGCTTTCATATTCTGAAAGTGTCGACCACTCTTCATCTAAATATTCTCTTCGTTGCATCTGTCTTCATCGATTGCACTATCAGATGGTGCATTTCTGCGTTTACCTTTCAGTCTGTATGACAGGTTGGAGGGTTTCATCATGAGCTGACATCAGTAAGAGAACCACTGGAAAACCTGCAGGCAGTACTGGACAGCTGTTTTATCCCAGTTTGGTACTCCTCATCAGTACGCACCCACTGGGGTTCGAACCCAGGACCTTCTGGTTACAAGGCTAGCGAGCTTGTAGACCATTAAGCCACTGGTACCCGATATCCCAGTGTAATGTCAGGAATTGGTAGAAATTAGAATTCATGGGCTGGCCATTGGATCGGGCTCCAGTTGCTTAATGGTCCACGAGTTCGCTAGCCTTGTAACTTGAAGGTCCTGCATTCTAATCCGGGTGGGGTTGCGTACTGCTGAAGAGTTGCTAACTAGGCTGGGGGAACAGTTTTCCAGTACTCCTAGATAGTTCTCCAATGGCTCTGTAACTGATGTCAGCTCTTGTTGAAATCCTCCAACTAATCAACAGTCCACCTTAGTTTTCAATAATTCTCTCACTGATATCGTTTTGTGACAAACTATATTAAAATAAATTGAAATCTACTTTCTTCATTCCTTAAGTTCCATGTGAAACAAAGGTTTTCAGGCTTGAGATTACTAAATTTCAGGGGTTGAGGTGTTGCTTTTACCAGATTTTGGAGCTAACCAGCACCTCAGTTTGTTAGAAAGCAGCACTTATAATGTGGTGGTTGACAGTTCGAACCTTTCTCAGAGCATGGATTCTAGTACGTGGGTGTCCACCTGTCTGCATGTATCGACATCCATACGAAACCCAAATTATGAATAAAAGAAAATCATTTAATGGTTACACAGATCACTGCCAGCATTATGGTCCTGGGTCTGATCATTTGTGGAGATGTCAGTTAGCGCTACTAAAGTATTACTTCCCAGATGTAGTCAGCTGTATAGCTTCTCGTGATTCCTATTTATTCATAAACCAGTATCCCCTTTTCAAAGTAATCTGCCCTAGAACTAACTAATTAATTAATTCCGGACAAAAGCAACAAGTTGAAGAGACTGAATAAAATTCATCCAAATTAGGGGATAATTTTATGTCTCCAGTGACGATGACCTTGTTCCATTTTCTCTACATTTGTATAGTAATATAAATCATAACAATTAAAATTGTAAATTGAAACCAAAAAACTTGATGCATAATGGTACAGTTATCTATGTAGGAAGTAACAATTTAAACTTTAACCACTGTTTCAATTGAACATTGAATTCATTTTAAAAGTACATCATTTAAAACAAATGACATAATACTATCCTAATTATTTGTGATGTTTTTTTTTGAATGATTGAATAGATAAATAGATAAATTCACGAACAGATAAATGCCAATATGTACTGATTAAATGACACCCAAGAAAAGTAAAGAGTTAAGGTCAAAAGTGAAACAAAGAAAATGATGATTATAAAAGAAGGGCAGTGGAAATTTGAATAGGATGTGTGATAATGACTCTGTGTCTTTCAAGAATTAATCTACAGTTTCAAGAATGTTCAAATGGGATTTTTGTTGAAAGGGCAGTAAATCCACCTACATGGGTTGTGTATAACACATAAAGAAGACTAATCTGATAACGTATATAGTACTTATCTCATCTTCTTCTTCGTACAAATGATGCACATAACTTTCATGTTTTGAGGTTTGTCAAAGAAAATATTAAAGTCACATAAAACCTAATGCTGAATTTTTATAAATCTGAATAACAGACAGGATTACTAATCTGAAAGGAGGAATATAAATAATAGGGAAAACCTTCTCCTTTGTTATCAATTTAAGAGTTGTAATAATTCCTTTGGATTCTTAGTGGAACATAGGTCTCCAGTAGCACACCTCCATTTTGTCCTCTTTAGCTGGTCCCATGATTGCCCATAATGTTGCATTTCCTCCTAATACGATTTCCTCCATGTCACCTTTGGACACCCCAGCCGTCGTTTCCCATTCGTATTCCATTCCAGAGATGGCCTGACACACGATGTCATTCAACAGTCTCCTCGGAGTATGTCCGTTGCATCTCCGTTTTCTTCTAAATATTTGTTAAACAGTCGGCTCCTGGTGGTTTCGTTCTCAGAGTTCCTGACCGTTAATCCCTTCTGAACATCTGATCTTCAGTACATGGCCAATGGGGGCAGCTATTGGTGATAGTCTTCAGGAACTCATTGGAAACGCTTTTCGTGAAGTTAGCGCCAAGGTTTTGATCCATATAGAAGGACTGACTTAACATTGGTGTTGAAAATTCAAATTTCATTCTTTAGTCTGATTAAGTGCAGTAGATTTTGGAATTGATTTCAGAGTGATGAAGTTCTGTCCGATTCTGATTTTGACATCCTCACTTCTATCGAGTGCTTGTAGTTGAATCTATAATACCTAGATAAGTAAAGGAAGTTGCCCTTTTGAAATTTCTTCTGTTGGTAGTGACTGGTTTTCTTCATCAACTTAGTTTTGTTTGTGTTTACTTGAAGTCCTGTCTTTGCTGCCTGTCTCTTCTGAAAACTGTTGGCTTTCGGCCGTAGGTCTTTGAATATATGTTAAATGATACATAAATCGTCTGCGAAGTCCTGGTCTGCTTGAGCCTTGTTATCGGTCCAACGTATCTTGTCTTCTCGCTCCATGGAGTATGTTACATGATCCAGTTCACCACGCTTAGGAATATGATCAGTGAAAGTAGGAGGCTTTGTCCTACTCTTGTATTCACTTCAAAGGCTTCACTGTGAACTTCTTGACAAGTGGCATTGTCATATAGCTGTCGAATAAAGTTGATGATGATTTGGGGTACAACACGCCATAGTGTTGAAGTAGTTTTCGAGTTAGTTAGCGGTCATCGTTGTTGAAGGCCTTTTTGAGAAGAATTATTAGCTAGAAAATACCCGCCAACACGCCAAAAGAAAAGGCGTTCAGTGAACAGTTGCCGTTTTCAGCTGTAAAATCGCATATATATATTGCCAAGTTTGTATGAAGCACTAAAACTTATAGATGCTGTGACGCCTAGATTATAGGGTTTGCCTAAGATTTACAAAAGTGGCTTGCCAGTGAAATCATTCCTCTATCTCAAATTACAATACGACTGCAACATGGTTGGTTTAACTTTTACAGCCGCTACATAAGAAACTTGTAGAAAACTGTTTTGAATCTGTGGAGATAATCGGAGAAGATAATTTCATGATATCACTGGATATAACTTCTTTATCCACCATTGTGAATTTGTTGGAAACTGTAGATTACGTATTTAATGAACTTATGAATGAAGGTATAGAGACTGGTATTCCTGTATCTTTCCTTAAAAAGCTTCTTTTAAGATTTATGATGAAAGTACTTTTTCTGTTCAATAAGTAAATGTATAGGCAGTCACGTTACGGACTCTTATTGCTGCCTCCATACTTAATATCAAATGGCCGGTCCGCCAGCGAGCCAGAAAGAATTAGTAACAAAAAACTCTGCCTGGGAACAATCCAACCATGAGCCAGTTACTCAAAATATATGTAGGAGAAAATGTAGATGGATTGGGACACGCTGGTTGAGGAGGCCATCGAATGACATAGCACGCAATGCAGGCCATCGCTGGAGTGGAATCTCAAAGGGAAGCGACGAGTGAGTCGTCAGTAAGAGGGTGACATGGAGGAGATCGTATTAGAAGGAGGAGTAGGAGATGAGAGATTATGGAAAATTGTGGGTCCAGGCAGCTAAAGAGGCCAGCAGAGAATAGAAGAAAGTGGCGATGCATTGTTGAAGCCCTAAATTCCACTCGGAACCCAAGGGATTAAGAGATAAATAAATAAAATAAGTTCACACTAATACTTAACACCTCAGTATTCATATTGAAGAAGGAATAATGTCACATCAAAACAGAAATAGGCCAAAATCTTTATTCCGTCTTTTTCATCCACACTATTTTTAGATAGTTATTTCTGATTGTCGGTTATTATTATTATTTTTTCTTGTTTCCATTAGTGGTGATGTCATAACTTAACTATGACATAATTTCTTTTATCTAGTCCAGTTAAAATACAAGAGAGAGAATTTTTGAAGTTTACTTTGTTTGTTCAGGCACATCAAGTCTCTTGTGGTTATATCCATTCAATACCTATCTAAAACAGAGTATGAAAGGATTCCGTGTACATGTTTAAAAAAACAACAGTCCATGTTTGTGTTTTATTAAATGGGATTAGATAGAACGAATGATAAATGTTCAGTGAGCTATTTGACTGAAGAATATTTCATTATTGTTTATTTTTTAGTTGCCTTACAGGACTGTGCGTTGAATTCATCTAGATGGTTTGAGATATCTTTGTTTTGAAATAGGACTGAAAGTATTTAGGTGTATGCCTAAAAATTCTGTGTGGATATTATATATGTATGTATATATATATGAAGATTTATGCGCTTGAACCTATACACCTAGTAAAGCTTTTTGATTTCTCATCAATTCTTAATACTATCTCTACATCTTATTCTTCCAACATTTACAATCTAGATATATAAATTCACTTAACTTGATTTGAATAAAAAGGAGTGTGTGTGTGGCAAGTATTTCTAACTGTCAAAAGTAGTTTCAGGATCCTTCGCACCGAAGTCTCCAGGGATAAAATCTAATCTAAATAAGTGACATACTACCAAAGAAAGGAGACTTAAGTCAATGCAAGAACTGGCGCAGAATTATGCTCCTGTCCATCCCAAGCAAAATACTAAGTTGCATTATCCTGGAGAGAATCAAACAAGCCCTAGATGAAAAACTTGGAGGATCTGGACTTCGCCGATGATGGTATATGTCTGATTTCTCACAAACTGGAAGATATGCAAGTGAAAAGCAACAAGTTAGCGGAAGAAGCATCAAACATAGGACTTCAGGTGAACATAGATAAAACAGAGGTGATGAAAATTCCTGGACAAGAACAGCAACAACAGACAACGATCAGCATAAATGGGAGGAACCTGAAAGAAACAACCTCCTTTACCTACCGACCTAGGAAGCATCGTTTCAACTACATTCTGGTGGAACTGACGAGGATATCAAAGCAAGAATCGGAAAAGCAAGACAAGCTTTCACTACTCTCAAGCCTGTGTGGAGGTCAAAAACACTCAGCGTCACAAATAAGATCCGGATTTTCAACTCCAATGTGAAGTCAGTGCTACTATACTGATCAGAGCACATCAAACAAACTACAGACTTTCATTAACAGTTGTCTTCGCTCAGTTCTCAAGATCAGATGGCCAGAAAAGATCAGCAACAAAGATCTCTCTGCAAACCAACCAGGAACCGATTGTGAAACAAATAGGCAGGAAGAAATGGAGATGGATTGGCCATACTCTGAGGAAACCATCAAGTGACATCACTAGACAAGCCATTGCTCGAGTGGAACTCGAAAGGGAAGCGGCGAGTTGGTCGTCAGTGCGAGGGTGGGGTGACTTGGAGGAGGTCATGTGAAGAGGAGATGAAAACGTGTGGGCAGACATGGAGCCAGGTGAAGACTCTAGCAGAGAATCGTACGCAATGGAGACGCACGGCTGAAGCCCTATGTTCCTCTAGGAATTAAAGTAAACAATAATAATAATAAATAAGTGACGTAGTCGTCTGATAACTTAAATGCAAACAGTGGGTAGTGCTAATCACAGTTTGAGAGATCGGCAGTCATTAAGTAGTAAATATAGTTAAGCTTTTTATATTTTTGTAGCATTCAGCTGATTCAGATTGTCGAGGCAACTGAAATACTTTAGTTTTTTGCCGATAACTAGACTGACAATCAGTGAATAAGCCTTACCGAAATGTGTCTTTTCCTATCATAGACAACACTGGCTACGAGCAGCTTGTTTACTCATGTGAGCTACTTCAAGCGCAACATTACCATTTTGAATACTGCTCAGCTTTTAAGTTTATATGAATATATATGCATATATGACATCGCGTGCCAGACCATCGGGTGGAATTGCAATAGAAAGTGACTAGTGGGTCGTCGGTGCGAGGTTGACATGGAGGAAATCGTCTGAGTTTGAGGAGGAGATGAGAGTTTATGAGCAATCGTGGAACTAACCAGGCTAAGAGGACGGCAGGAAATAGAAGAAACTGGAGATGTGTTGTTGAAGCTGTATGTTTCACTCGGAACCCCAGGAAATAATAATAATATATAAAATGATGTAGAGGTTGAAAGAAAGTCTATGTCAGAGAAATTCAATTTCGTTTTCAATTTGTTTGGAGGATAGATTTATCAGGCCACGGAAATTTATGCAAGCCTTTCGATATGATCCCACTAACGGTAACCATTTCTGATAAACCACTTTTATAGAATTAGGAAATAAAAAGTATTGCTAAGTCTCGTTAAATGTTTTTGATGTGGTTGTGTTTTCTGAGCTGAATAGGTAATTTGCGAAGCTTTCATCGCCCTACTAGGTGACATATTCAGCGCATACTTCAGTCTGAAGTAAGCTTTCAGATTTCTCCACGAGTTTATTAATCATCTCTCCTGGTCAACTTGGAGGTGATTAGTTGTTTTTGTGTGTTTTCACACCCTCTAGGCTGCTTGTATTGGAACTGATTGTTTCCTTGACTTGAACTTTGACCCTTTGTGCGTGAGGTTTCTTTTTTATCGGCTGGTAAATTTGGTCAATCTCGATGTGTCTATTGATTGATGATTCACTGGAATGCAAACCTATCAAACCAAAAGCCCCCAAGGAAAGCACAAAGAAAGTCGCCCTGCCATATATAAAGGATATATCAGAAATCACTGCAAGACTCGTCAAACCTTTAGGAATTGAAGTCGCACACAAACGAACAAAATCACTTCACTCAGTTCTATGTCAACCAAAAGACTCAACAGCGAAAGAAGATAAAAACAACATTATCTGCAAGATAAATTGTAACAGATCTTTTGAAATCATCCTAAAAGTCATAGGCTATTTGGTCTGTAGTGTCGGGTATAAAGTGGATGCTCATCAAAGGCATTGTTTTGTGGAAGCACAGCTAAACATTCCGAAACAATGGCTGAGCAGTAAACGTACTGGGCTTGTAACCTAAAGACTCTAGGTTCCATCCTTGGTGAGATAATCGGTATTTGCTGGTGAAGAGTCCAGGGCTGTCTAATGCTCCTTGGTTTTTATTGGTTCTCTAACTGGTGTTGGTTAATGCCAAAACTCACAATGAAATTACTCAAAAAACCCCCAAGAACCCCAAAAGGCTAAATGCATGTATGAGGCTTTTGGGGGCATTTTTTTGAACTAATAATCAATTTCTTATAAATTGTATTCAACAGTGATACCCGTGATAGCCGTCGGTGCGGTTTCCAGAATGATCTAAAAGCGCCTTATGTTAGATTCCTTTTTCCATCTAGGTTCATATTTGCGAATAAAACTAAGATAGATGAAGTTATTACTTATACGGTTTAATTTATTCCTTGTAATGCCTAAATGATCACTATTTTTATGTACATCATTTGTGCATTTAGGTCTTCATACAGGTCCAGCTGTTGCTGGTGTTGTTGGTGTAAAAATGCCACGTTATTGTTTATTTGGTAGTACAGTGACAACTTCAGAAATAATGGAACAAACAAGTTCAGTAAGTTTATGATTTTGGCTTTTGAAAAATCAATAAAAAGTATATATTGATGTTATTTGGTGGATGGTAACTAGCAGTTGAATCCAGGATACGTATTTCATCCTATCTGGGACTCATCATCTGGATTTACCTGCAACTATCTAATGAATGATGCTGTCCGCATTGGGACTCGAATCCAGCGCCCAACCTTTCAAACATCAAAGCCTTATCCACTGGACTACTTGGCCCACGGGAGCCACCTTTTGTGCAACGGGGATAAGTTATTATTTTGTCTGTGTCAATTTTTGTTTGTCCCACTGACTAAATGAACAGAAATGTTCGGCTTCGAGTAAGCAATAATCAGTTTACAATGCATGTTAGGTACACTCCTGACTAGCTGGACTCCAGGAATATGAAAGCGCCACCCTACTTCATTCTGTCCAGCATGCACTATTGGCTGAGGTGAGTGGTCTGGAACCACTAATCTCAATCAATGAGTAGCACTTAACATCATAAGTTTATGCTTGTTGTCTCAATCCCCACTTATGATATCATGGAGACCATATATTATGATCTGAACATTTTAAGTTTTCAAAGGAAACAGTGGTGAATATTCGCCACGAACTGCTTAATTTTTAGATTGCGTATTTGAGTTTAGCCATTTTCCTAGTTTCACATTATTATGTGAAGCGAAATAGGCATTTTTGTAAACTGCTTGCTGATACAACATACATTTAACTCTCATATATACTTGTGTACACTTTCACAACGTTTTGCATCCAGGAAGAAAGAAATTTTTAGCTAGATAATTCGATTGATAAAATTTATTTCAAACTCATTTTGTCTGAAAATTAGTTTTGGTGTTATTGCTTTCTCTGAGCTGAAAAGCTTAACCCGGAAGCTTTCATTATCTTTCTAAATAACTTGTTTAGCGCTAAGCTGAAAACGAAGACTCTCATTTTGAGCATATTGAAGCTCTGTTGTTTGATTATCTGGTCTTCAGGGGGTAAACCTGAAGAATATTCGCTGTAGTTTCGAAATGTTGAAATACACTACTGCAATCTCATATACTGAGGGTAAAATAGGGTCTCATTTGGATTTAATTTTGCTATTTTCCTTCTCATAACAGTTTTAAAATAACTTGAAAAATATCCTGTTGTCTGAATGGCAGTTCTTATTGGTAACTGCCAACAATTAACGAAGACTGTGTAAAAAGAATATGATCAAATAATTTATTTCTAGATTAATCATTTAGGGTACCACTGAATACTGGGAAGTAATGGACGCACGTTTCGTCCTAGTTTGAGACTTCTCAGTAATGTGCACCCACGACCACACCAAGGATCGAACCTTTAGCCTTCAGCTTACGTGGAGATTTGCCAACAATTCAACCACTTAGACAGAATCTAACGGCTTATGGATTCTCATTTCTGTCAGTCTGTGAGCTCTCATAAGTGTTCTGCTTTCGATCTCCTTTCTGGTCATTGGTGTGTACTGCTGAAGAGTCCCAAAATGGTATTAATAAACATATCTCCAGTACTTCTTGATGGTTTTCAATGCTACTCTGACTGATATCAGTCCATGATAAAACTTAAGACCAATCAAATTTCAAGAAACTAACACTTGAAGGTATTTTATTCTCATTCATTATGAGATTTACATAGAAGAGTATTTTTAGTCCATATTTGTATCAGTTCCTTCAATTTTTAAGATATCAAATTCAGATATTACTGAAAAACATTAAAATCTAATATCACTGAGAACACAGCTACTTCTGGCATAGTACTATCAGGTTACAGGAAGTCGTTTGAATGACTCTTCAGGATTACCAATAATCACCCAGCTAATATAAATAGACTGAGAAACTAATTCCCAGTTGATTTTATTGTTAAAACAGTTAAATTAAATTTAAAATCCACTCAGTAAGCATGTTGAAATGCAAAACATATCAGGAGAAATCTTCACACAGTCAGTGAATATGGATTTAGATGTACTTTATAAGAAATAAAGATTGTTCCATTTGTTACATATTTTCATGTAGGCTTGAATGACTTTCATGATTGTTAAACTGTAGACAGTATATTGGAGGAAAAATTTAAGCATAGTGTAAGTTTTAGAAAAGATTACATTTGTCTGCTTACATAACACAATTTTGAAGGTTGGATTTAGGCGAAAATCCCCAGAAAAATACAATACAAATGAAATTTTCGATTAGTAAATTGACTGATTGATTGATGATAAATTTTGTTCAGAATATGTAGATATGTGTTACTAAACTTAAGAAATTGCATATTTTAGAGATACTTTTCATGTTCAGAGTCTTTTCAAAGGTGAACATTGATGAATGAACCGGAATTAAGAAGTATTTGTCATTTTGTAGTCAGTGAATAGCAGTTGAATCCAAGGTGCACGCATCATTTCTATTGACGATTTGATGGTTGAGCTTATGTGTTTCTCAGTTTTGATGTCGTCATTCAAATTGCCTCACGATGTTTTACGATATCTTACTTGTACCTGGTAGTCTAATGAATAGTGTTACGATTATCTGATTATTGATTTTATAATGATGATTCCAATGCTCTGAGATGCAGATCTTCATGAATGTAAGTGTAGAACTCGGGAACTGTGATAGAATGTAGTTTCATATTAGTTTTCATATCAACAGCTGTCTTCACCAATACTACTCAAGATCAGATGGCCGGGCAGAAAAGATCATTAACAGGAAGAGATCTCTGTGAGCGAACCAACTCAGCAGGAACCATTTGTGCAACAAATATGCAGGAAGAAATGGAGGTGGATTGGCCATACTCTGAGAAAACAAACTATCAAGCGACATCACAAGACAGGCCCTCAAGTGGAACCCGAACGGGAAGCGGCGACTTGGTCGTCCAAGGGTTACATGGAAGAGGTCATGTGTGGAAAAGATAAAGTATGTGGGTAGACGTGGAGCCAGGTGAAAACGTTGGCAGAGAACTGAACGCAATAGAGACGTGCGACTGAATCCCTGTGTTCTTCTAGGAACTAAAGGAAACACAATTATACTCGGATGACGTTTCAAGGACAGTTTATTACTCATAATCCCGTCAATTTATTCACACGGCTTCATAATTTGGTTTATATATATTTTTTCTGTCCCTCCCCCTTGTTGTTTGTTGCGGTTTTCTGTATCTTCGGCATAGGCGTTACTTCATTTCAATTGCATATGCTCATGGTTGAATCGATAAATTCTCCACTTAACCATATCACCTCCTAAAACTTTCAACCTGTGCTATTATATTTCTTCATTCCCTTTTCCCTTTTTTCATTCCTTTGTTTTCTTAGTGGAACATTGGGCTTAAAGTTTTAGGCTTTGAAACTGCGACAGTAGTGGTGTTTATTTTCTCAGGGTTGGGTTGTTAGTCTCGGGTGTCCAACCTCCCCTCTGTACTGGGCTTACTACTAGCTAAGAGGGGTTTAGGTGTGCGTCGGCTGGCAGTGGAACCCAGAGTATGCGCGTGATTGGCAGGCATTCTACCATTGAACCACCAGCGCATGGGATGCAGATAGATTCAGTGAATAAACGACAAACAGAACGATGTTGGGCTCTTTAATCTTACAATCATTTATTTTAGGATGCATGATGTATTTATGAGGCGGCTTTCTTACACAAGACTTCACAGTAACAGCAACTTGTTGAGAACGTTCAGCTTTCAAATGGCTCAATTGGTTTATTAACTAGATGTCATGCACAGTTCTTATTAAATTTGGCGCATTTAATTTGGCTAATCGTGATTAGTCTTCACAATATGACTATTAGTCATTAAAAATCATTTAATTGAATTATTCAGTGAATAAGAAGACGTAATTTGTCTGAATCGTGTAATGTATTTGCGCAACACACATTTCGAACAATCTGATCACACTCCACGGACTTGTCATAGGAAATTAATAATGAGTTAAGAGGTGAGAAAATAGACTTAGGTCAAGTTAAAAGGGAATGTCCAAGGTCAAAATAACAATGAAGAACACTAAACCAAATAGTAGAGGTAATATTACATCTGCTATGGTATCAAAACAAAATTTACCAAGGAAGGTTTAATGTGATGACGAATTGTTTTTGAATGCATAGAGGTGGTTTAAACTTTCTAATTGCTACGGCTTCCACAAACATTAGGATACGCCCCGAACACGTTTTATAGATAGGTTTAAAAGATCTGTTAACGTCAATTTTATTTCCTGTCTCCTCTATAATATATTTCGCAGCAAAGGAGTTAGGTCTGCTGTTCTCACCATTAATGGTTTCTGAAGATTCTATTTGTTTCTGGAGCCATTTAGGAATATGCTCTGAAGCCAGCCCTTATTTGCAGAGATCGATGAGTCCTCCCTATGTATGTGTGTCCACACGTACATTCAAATTGGTAAATACAGTGGGATGTGACATCATTTTTCGCATGTTCGAAGAGCTTAGCTAGATATACGTGTGTGATCAGATTGTTCGAACTGTGTTGCTCAAATACATTACACGATTCAGACAAATTATGTCTTCTTATTGCTTTATATAAATTCGTAAAGGGAACTAATTGTTTTAAATTCAGTTGAATACATTATAATTGGATCTTCTGGTTAGGGTCCTCGGGTTGCTAAAAACCAGTGGCTGGAGATTATTCATGATATAGTCCGAAATGTTTGTCAGTGGCACAAGTGCATTCAGTCTTCGTGATCTCTCATATCCATTAAACTCTTGTGTTCTTCCATGTTGTTACTGTTTTTTCCTCGGAACATTTCCGCTTACTATAGCTTTCAGAAGAACGGATTTTCAATACAAATGTGAAGTCAGCCAGTCACTTCTTCTTTACGGGTCAGAAACTTGCACTGCGTGTCAGTCATGAACAGGATTTCCAGCAAATTACAGACCCTGGCAACAGCTGTCTTCTCTGGCTGCATATTGAAGATAAAATCGTCAACCAGAAAGAATTAGGACCAAGAAACTCTGGGGAGGCGGATATACCAACCAAGAGCAGATTGCTCCACAAATACGTAGG